TGGAAATTCAATAAAATGCAGAAATTCCGGCGACATATTCCTTTTACTCAAGTCCTCTGATTTCATCGCTCACGATTTATCTGTTCCGTAACTAAATCTAATGTTATATTCGTAGATTTGCTATGTGTGAAGATATTTCCAAAAATGAGCGTTTAGTTTGTGAACATGACACATTTTTAGTAATAAGAAAATGGCATGATTACATCCCTGATGGGGAATTTCGTTGCTTTGTATCAGGCAAGCGTTTGATTGGTAATTTCTTGATTTACTAATTATTAGCTATTTGCCAAAGGAAAGTTGACAGATATTTGGAAAGTATATTAAACAATTTAGAAACAATTAGATCTGATATAATGAAATTCTATTCACTTTATATTGAGCCCTTCTTCGTGTTAAATGACTGTAATCTATATTTATCTTGTATTTATTCCTTTAGTTACTTTTGATATTTTCTGGCTGCAACGAGTGAGTTTCTCCAAGTTATCTCATTTATAAGAAAAACTCTTTTAATCACATACGGATTATTGATTTTAATGTTTATGGGCTACCCACAGATGCCATTCTCTTTTCGTGGGATGAGCTGGACTCGTTTTCATTAGACCAGGTAAATCGCGTTTACGGCGTTATCAATGTTGCATTATTAATCCACTTATGTCACTACGCTCCTAGTATGCTCCTACGTTTTTTAACTACTAGAATTTTACTGGACCTGAGCTTCGTTATCAAACAAATTGCTCATTGCAACAAGACAGTATGAAAGCAATATACTATACCAATTGACCTTATTGATGTCGCCTCTGGGCATCCAGAAAAACTGATTGACCTTGTGCAATATGTACGCATATTTGATCACATTTATTTATTTATAATTTAACCCTTATAAGTTAATTTCGTTTGCTCTTTAAGTAACGTTTTTATTACTATATTTTTTCAGCATATTGAACGGCAAAACACAGAAGCGGCTTCAAAGTAAAAAGGATTTAATTTTGAATATATCATATTTTCCTAACATCCGTTTTCATCTGTAGCCAAGCTCTTGTTCTGGCTCAAAAAAATGTAGAGGACCTTATTTCTCTTATCGCAACATTTTGAGGATTAATCAAAGGCTTTCAGATTTGTATTTTGTCTATCTTGCTCTTTCGTTATTTGGTTAGATAAAAAGACGGTCAATTGGTTGGTATATTTGTTCCAACTTAATATAACAAATATACAATGTATACACTAGGATAGTGCATTTACAGAGTCCACATTCCTGATTGCACTGTTGGTTCGTCTTAAACTCATTTTTATTAATGGTGGTATAGCACTTCTATGAAAACTCCTATGGCACCCGGAACTTACCTAAACTCTGCTAATGCTAAGAACGTGGCAAACTTGTCCGCTAGATTCATCTAACTTAGGCCTCGTTACTAAAGTTACAGCCTTGCATGACTCATTTTATATATTTGCATAGAGTAATTTACTGTGTGCTTTCTTGTTTTTTTTCGCCAGCTTTATAGTCAGGAGACTAACAAGACTAATCGGATTGTCCCTAAAACTGAAGCCTTTAAGGGTTCTTTTAACTCCGCGTCGAGTGCAAGGCCTGATAAACGTTCGAGAATGCACTCCATCAGCTGTCAGGAGCATACAAAAGATGTGATTTAGTAGCGATGAGTATGTTCTCACCTTTTTAATTCATGAATGCAATAAAGGCTTATGGAAATTATGAACTGATGGCGATTA